GAGGGAGACTGGATGGCTGTGTTGTTGCTGGGTTGACAGGGTTGTTGTGGGTTGTTCATGGTTAGCTACTTGGCTGTGTTGTTTCTTCCTTGCTAGTTTGCTGGGTTGGTTTCTGTCTTGTTTTTTCTGGGCAGATGTCTTGAAATGCTGTGTTGGTTATCTTTAAACATTTAGGTTGTTGAGTTTTTTGTGTTTAGGGTGTTGTTGTTTTGGTTGCTGGGTAACTGTGATACTTTGGTTGCTGGGTTTGCTGTGTTGTTGCTGGGTGCTTCAAGAAGCCCAGGGATGTTGGTTACTTGGTTGGCTGTGTTGTTGCTGGTTGGTTCCGAAAGGATTGAAAGTTGAGTAGCGATGATGAGTACCCTTCTAAACTTATTGTGATGTCATTTGTGGGAAAAAAGTTATTGCAACCAGGTGGCATTTGGAGGGCTAATCAAACAGATACTAAGTATAAAATACAAATTGCCGCCTTGGATGGCAATATCTCAATTCGCAAGTCCGTATAAAATTATATTGACTCACATTTCATTGAATGATGAATTATTTGAAGGGTTAATCTGAGCTAATAACTCAAGCTTTCAACTAATTCATGGATTTAAAATTATATCTATTTAATTGTTTATCTTTTTTGCAGTTAGCTTATATCTCCAGGACTCCATGAGTGCAGGCAGGCAGGCACAACTTCACAAGACTTCAACTAGTCAAGGAGTTCAAAATTTTTTTAAATTGTAATATTCGTTTGAATTATCTGTAAATTGTAATTATTTGTTTAATTTATTTGTTAGTTTAATATTTTGTATAATTTGTATATTGTAATTAGCAAATTGCTTCTAATTCATAAATAAAAAATTTTTTCATGCAATTTTTTGTTTAACTGTGTTGATGTTTTTTTTTTTTGAGATATTAATGAAAATTACTCGGGTTAGCGGGTCAATCCGGGTTGACCCGAACCCGACTCGGGTCGGGTTCGGGTCTTGAATAGTAACCCGTATCCAAAACCGGGTCGGGTTCGGGTCAACCCGTTTAGCTTCGGGTCATTTCGGGTTAGACACGAACCCGACCCGTGACCCGAAATTGACACCCCTATCAAAAGGTAACATTCTTTTTCTACATTTTCTCCTTGCGGTCTTCATCAACTATGTTCTCCTTATGCTTGTGCGTATTTGCTCAAACTCTTCGTATTCTCAAACTATAAGTAGTGCAAATCGTTTATTTTGTTATTCAGTTTCTCGTTGTGTGTCGTTCTTCTCCTATAATAGTGGGAACATCTAAAACTTCATCTCTTTGGAGAGTCGAAGATTTAAGACAAGCGTTCATTTTTAAATTTATATTACAAATAAATCATGTTTATAAAATTAATTTATAAGCATTGAGATTAGAACAGGGAATGATTTAAGGAATAGTAAGTACCTTTCAAAGTGCAACAAGATTGAAGAGTCCTAGAAAGCTAACAACAAACATGAAACCTACCATCCATCCCATGGAAGGATTTTTCACATCCTCTGGCCTTTTACCAGGATAATCCTTCCTATGAGTTCATAGCTCTTTTGATTCATGTTCTAATCACAATAATTTTGGTACTTGCTGTTCTAATCACAATGCATTTTGGTACTTTGAAAGGCTCAATATCATAGATAATTAATTTTGATATATAACAAAAGAGATTTAAGGAAATGAAAGAAACATCAGTCTCCATCCTAACCAACATAGCATAAGAGTCTCAAATGAAACAGGTTGCTACAAGATCAGTCAACCAAAGACAGAGAAGCTCCGTATTATCATGATCCATCATATAAACAGAATACTTCACGTAGAAAATTCAGGAGACTACAATAATCACTAGAACTCAACTCTCTTATATATTAATAGTGAAGGCAAATTTCATATTCATTAACTAGTTGGGTGTTGAAAGATGGTGTTTTCATTATAGAGACATTGTACATTTTCTCATTCTCATCATGATTACTTAACTTACTTCAATAAACAAAGATCGGAACCTCATTACATGTACTAAAACTTTACTGCAAATGCTAATGTAATTTACTTTGATATATAAGTGACATTAGATTTACGATAATATAGGGTTGGTCCTGATTATTTGGCATGCTAGGCAGTGTGTTAGTTGTTTACTGTACTAATTATATTAATGGTTTTAGTATAAAGTTGCACAAACTTTTTAGGCATTAGTTGCAATTTCAAGTTTAAGGTGGTTCTATTCTAATTAGTCATGACATTCATGTTCAAACCTTGCTAATCTACTTTATGCTCTTCTTTAATAAGAATTGTTGGGCTTCTCTCTATGAAAAAAATATTCGTCAAGAAACTCTCTTTTTTTTCTTTATTTTGGAGATATAAATATTAGTGATACCTATCAAGAAATTGAAAGTTTATTTTTTATTGTAAAATATTTGAAAAGCTGAAATTTTTATCCTCAAACAGATTGTTTGCTTGAGCATGCTTCATATATAATCCTTTTGCATTTCTATGTTCAAATGGTGCAGTTTAAGACTCAAATTTTAAATTCATAACTAAATAAATTGAACTTCAAGTATATTTGATTCAATGCTTTGATTGTTTTTCTAGTTTCAGCTTATTTCAGTTCCTATTGTAGTAGAAAAGCACTGTGTATTCATGGTGTTTAGAACTTTGAATTGTTCTTCATACTTTACTAACTCTGAATTGAACATATACAAAGAATGTATGAGTTTTGAACAAATTTTTAAAAGAACGAGTTGTCAAAAATCAACTAAAGTATTTGGAAGATTATCACTTGCTTAGCATAAAATGATTATAGCTATAACTGGCCATTTTATGATTATTATATATTTATATTAATTGATTTCGTTTCTAAAAATCTGTTTAATATTAATTGTAAAATGTTTAATAGCATTATTAATATCCTACCACATGAAACACTTCCATTTTGTTTTACAATCTCTCTCTCTCTCTCTCTCTCTCTCTCTCTCTCTCTCTCTCTCTTACATATGTTGTATTAGCTATGGATAAAGTAGATAATAATTTTTTTAATATCACAATTACATTTTATCATTTTGGTTTAATTGTAATTCAGAATAAATTATTTTAATAAACAAAATTCTCACATGTGTATTTACTCTTCTCTATTTCTTCATTGTTGTTCAATTACGCTTATTTTGCTCGCTACGAAGGTAACAATCTTCCACCCCTTTATCACTTTGCTAGCTACAAATATAACAATATTTTACCCCATTCTCTATTAATTGTTGCTTCACATTCTATCCCATCTTCTTAACATGTTTTAGTGTTACTGTGGTTTTATTATTTTATTCTTAGTATAGGCCAAACTACTTTCTTTCTGATATTTTTTCTCACTTTTTTGCAGTCGATTGAGCTTGTTATTATTCTATGATCTATTTAAATTATGTAATCGGTTTTCATGCATT